CATCAAACGCTTACTGATGAGTGTTGAATGAACGTTTCAGTGTTCAGTTTCTACAAGTGCACTCTTTATGTTGTTTTCTGACAAAATAGCAGTATAGTTATTCCAATAAAGAAACTATGTAAAGCTGGCAAACCATCTTATGCAGTTTCACATATTTCTTTGCTCTGCAATTTTGTTGTGAAACTGTTAAATTTGAAGACACAGACAACTTATTTTTTTAGTTTCAAATCAACTCTTCTCATGAATATAAAAAAGACAAATATTTCACGAAAGTGAACTGAAATCCAATAATTTTGTCACAACAAACATACATTTTTGTATTTTTTATGTCTATGACCTTGTTTAAGACATTTAAATGTCCTGTTGCTTTGTTTTTACAATGTTCAAACTATTTGCTTTAACCTCCAACTTTCCTTCCTTTCTTAACTCTCTCTATAATCTAATTTCTTTGTTACCCTGTCTTCACAAGAACAGACCATTTTGAACCCCAAAGGGAGTTTGTCATAAAAAGAGAGGGCTCGGAGCACAGACCCAGACAGTACATGCTGTACAGTAGTGATCTGTTACGTAAGCTTGTTGACTGGATGAACACGCACACACAGAAAAAAATAAAACACTGGGGACTCTCCTGTTATTGTTAAATTTAAATCAGATAGAACTTGTTGTCCTGCAGTGGCCTATAATGAGCACAGCATGATGTGTGAAATAATTTTAAATTAGAATTTGTTGCAAAATCTCAGTTCCATCTAGTTTGTGCTGCAGGGCAGAGTCCATGATGCGTTTTCTCTGCAAAACACGATTAATTGAAAGTTAAAGAAAGTGTGCAAGGAAAAACCAAAATGGGGTGTAGGCTATAGCTTCTGTGCTAAACAGGAAGTTGCACAACACCTGTTGCTTGGCTTATGTACAGAGAGGGATTGATTGTCCGGCTGTGTTAGAGAGTTACTAAAATAAGTGTTAACATCCAGGCGAGCAGGCGACGCAACAACATTCCTCACTTTTCGCCTATTTCTTGAAAACAAATCATCTGATGTTTCTTGGAGTTTCTATTTCCCGTTAAAACATTTTTTGCCTGGAATATCAAAATGTGTGTGTGTGTGTGTGTGTGTGTGTGTGTGTGTGTGTGTGTGTGTGTGTGTGTGTGTGTGTGTGTGTGTGTGTGTGTGTGTGTGTGTGTGTGTGTGTGTGTGTGTGTGTGTGTGTGTGTGTGTGGACAGCATTTGCCCTAGAGGTTAAGTATGGAGGCAACGTTTCAAAACTTTCACAGATATTTTAGCAAGCTGTTCCATGTTGCTTCGACAGTGACTGAAAAATAAACCGACTGTAGGAAACTTGCAATTTTAGAAAGTTACAAACTTTGTAAGGATCTGAAACAGCTGCAGACTCAGCAAGAAAATGCCTGAGGAACTAGCATCAATTCATAATTGAAAGCAGTAAAGTCAGTTTCAAGTAGGAAAAGCAACCATAGGGGCATGCTAACAATAGCACATTTAATCTATGTGCCAGCTTTTTTTTCTTCATTACACATGACAACATGCTCTGATTTTTATATAACAAAGGCCTTCTCCTAATTACAAATATATTACCTAAGAGTGGCTGAACATCAGAAACAGTAGGTCAGGGACTGGGTTAGAGGTTACTGGTCAGCTTGGCTAAACATATTTAACCAACATTTAACAAATCAAAGTTTTAAGTAGTGCTAAATCTTTAGCTCTACAAAGACACTGAAGCTCTGCATCATATACGTGGGGGCACAGTTCATTTTAAAAAGTCAAGGCACAACAAATCTTTACAAAGCTATCCTGACTGCTCAGCATATCTAAATGAAGTATTTGTTAATCAACGGGAGTAGTTTTTGTTTGAGATTGTAATGCTCTGTTGAGCACAAAATAATACTAAATGTTTGTTAATAAGACTTTTGTAAATCCTTTATTTAATAGTCACCAGATTTCAGCTGAACTCCATCTCCATCCTCAAAAGACCAAATGTTTTGGACGAAGGTTGTTTAAATGTCACCCAGTGGATTTCCAGAGATTGACACACATAACATGTTACTAGCACCCTCCCTCAAACCTGGCTTTTAAGTTTGTAACACTTAATATTCAAATGAGAGTCTTTAAAAAAACAAACGTTTTCTCTATTTGTGGTCTACAGAATTGCTAAGTCAAATATTCTAAGTTTATATCATTTTCATCAAATGTATTTTTTTACCTTGAATTAGTTTTTGTTGTGTGAACCATACCATTTGGGGGCTTGTCCGGGATTGAGAATTCTGTTGCTTTCGACAGTTGTTTTTAATGCGATAGTGTGTTAATTTGTTACTTTTGGTTACATGTTTCCTTTGGGGTCACAGATGTGTATGAACTGTGTATTAGCCTATGTTCATCTAAAAGCTTTGGTAAGCCATGTTTTCAGGTTTGTACCAGTGCATAGGTAGCAGTACTTGTTGCATGGATGGATAGATTATTTTCTGTTACAGTGCAGTGAGATCAAACTCTAGTTAAACTATTCATTTTAATGAAATTTGGTCTGAGTGTTGTAACCTTCTGATGACAGTGTTGCAAATTACAAGAAATGAAAGGTGATTTCAGATTTCAAGAAATAAAAACCCAACCAGCCGTTTTTATTGTGTTTCCATGCTGCTGAACATCTTTACACGCAAACATGCTAGCACATACTTGCTGGTCACAGAAATGTGACATATACCGTTGACTCACTATGAGTATGTGTGTGTGTGTGTGTGTGTGTGTGTGTGTGTGTGTGTGTGTGTGTGTGTGTGTGTGTTTGTCTAATGTTTCCCTACATAGGATGGGCATGCCATTGTTCATCAGCAACATTTTGCTCAAGAAGACAATTTTATTAATTTCTTTGAGTTAACAGCTTAGCCTCTGGCATCCACATTAACCGTGTTGTTTGCTCTAGCATGTGCACACTGTATGGGTATGATGCTATTTGCCACAATTTGTATGGCTCACAGATACAACACAGGCATGAAATTAAACTCCATGCCCTGTTAGCCAGCTGACTGATGGCTTTTCTAAGTAGGTCATCTATGAAAATGCCAGCCTGTCAGTTTAGATCATTGGACGCAAAGCTGAGTCTGTGCCCTGTGATGAAGTCAGGTGGTCTTCATGCTGTTTACCCACTCTCACAGAGCACTGACAGCACCAAAACACATGGCGTTCACAATAACCTCAGGTACCGGTTTGATCATTTCTATTTACTTGCAATTAAATTAGTGACCCTTGTGATGCAACTTATTGGATTAGTTATTTGTAAGCATGACTGTGTTGGGTTTAAATTTGTTAAATGACACCAAAAGTTGTCCAGTGAGCTACAGTCAGCATCCGGTCATTTGGCATCTGAGTAGGTGTGTGAGTTTATTGATCATTGGCATTGACTTAGTTTTGACTTTTCGGGGGGGGGGGGGGGGGTGTTACAACTGGCATGAGGACCGGGGGAAGGGGGATCTTTACAGTAAGTATACAAAAATATGTAACATGCTGTGGTTTCCCACTTGGTCCTAGTGCTCAACCAGTGTCTATTTAAAATAGCGAAACATTTCAAAACTATGACGTAACTCACCAGTGAGTTGACTCCTGCCACGTGGACCTCAAGTGATAGACCATCAATCCTGCTCAATGGCCAACTTTCCTCGCAGGGTCACCCATAAAGATAGTGGGAGGGTTAAAACTGTGAAACTATACGTCAGCCTGTCAGAAAAATATTTTAAAAATCACAAACACAACTCTGAATCAGTTGGGGTTGATATGTTTGATTTAAAGGTTTGGGTGACAAAAAACCCATCTTTTATATTGTTTTTTTATTATTATTATAATCAGTCACTCTGAATTTTTCATGCAGGCTGAACATGAAAATAGTCTCCTACACCTACCTCCTGCATTATTAACTTCTGATAGAAAATTGACGGTGAACCTCTAGGATTTTAAAATCGTCACAGATTTACATCACGCTGTCGCTTAACATTCACGGACTCACTGATGTTGACTCGTGACGGGGAAGGCTGCTGTTTGAACGATTCTGCAGAGAACTTCTCGGCTCGTTTAAGCTAACCATTAGCATTAGCAACACCACCTCACAGCAGAAATCATCCAGGCCTGAGTTATTTGTGGAGATAAAATATCAAAGTTGCAGTGGTAGAGTTGTGTTACTGTTATCCAATTCGGGGCGAGATGTCCAAATATCAGGAAATATGACTCCAAAACCTGTCCTTTTTACAAAGGATTGCATGATGGTGGTATAAAGGTGGTGTGGCGGTGGTCTCTGCGCTGCCACAGACTTCTGTTTATCTGGGACATAACTTGATTTTGATTGTGACTGAAGATGCGATCGTTAAGTGTTTTTAACATCACCTAAAGGTGTCTGTCCTGCACAGTCCCTGTGTAGTCTCCGGTGATCTGAGCTCCAGCTCCAACAGAGAGAAGCTCCTGGAGCGCTACATTGCTCCAGTTTATAATCTCAGCTGATTCTGAAACTTGCAGCCCGTGTTTACTTTCACTGTCAATATAGTTTCCTGCTGAAGCTCGTCAGTATCTCCCCACGTGATCATGACATCTCCCTCTGTTGCTCCAGTGGCTTAATATGCATCCACTTGATAATATAACCACCAAGCGTGGCGGCACAAATGCCACAAAATTCACGCAACGCCATGCTGCCACGGTGCATTCATAAGACACGCCTTGGCGGCAGAATTACGCTGATTTGCCGGCATGGTGTGTCTTCTAAAAAGGGCTGTTCATTCCTACCAGTGACTCCTGCAAATATATTGATTAAACAAGTAAACTACTCCTTTAAAAGGAAAATCAAGTTGTTGCTAACCAATATATTTATTTCAAATCAGATATCTTAATGTCTTAAAATATTTTAGTTTGAATGGATTTCTAACAAATTGGCATGCCATTGTTTTATTCACACCATAACACAAAATCACCAGTATGTGTTTTATGCCAGTATCTGAAAATCTTTTTCTTTCTCTACAGATTCAGCAGGGCCAATGAGTGCAGGCCACACTCATCATTCCTCTATGGGCAGCATGGTGGGCCACCCCTCAGTCATCAGCACTTCCAGGCCCTTACCGTCCCCCATGTCCACCCTTGGCTCGCCGATGAACGGCCTAGCGTCACCGTATCCCGTCATCACCTCATCTCTGGGATCACCCTCTGTACCTCTGCAGTCTACTCCCAACATGAACTTTGGACCACTTAACAGTCCACAGGTGGGTGTTTGATGGTCGTAAGCTGATTGGTTCAAAACAATAAGCTGTTTAGGATTATAATTGTCTGTTATTTATGATCAGAATGTTCTGATAAAGCCTTTTGGTTTCTATGCTTTCCTTTGCCATGCCTGTTCAAAGGTCTGCATGGCAAATCTTTATTTCAAAAGCTGTAAAATAAAAGTTTGAAAAGTAGATGTTTTGGATGTAACCTAAACCAGCTACTTGAACTCTCAGATGGGAGATTGAGAGTTAGGCATTTCCTCTGTGAATAGCTGGCATACCTAGGCCTTCCCTTCACCCCCTACCCTACTACTGACCTTTAAACTTCTTGTCCTAAAGGTCATCTCTAAATCCTGCGTTACTTTGTCATGCAAGGGGACTCGGAGCTCACTATAAGACTTTTAATGGATGACAGAAAGACGGGGGGGGGGGGGGGGGGGGGGGGGTGTCCCAGCTTTTCCTGGATTCTCACTTTTCCTCCTCCTTTGGATGTAAAATGGCACACAGCTGACCACTAGAAGGATAAAAATACTAGAGATGCTTCCTTTAAGTGGTCAATTGCCAAACCCAAACAGGGGTCAGGTCTTTGATAATCAGCTGCAAATACACAGAGGTTCACATGCTAGCAGTGTTTGAAAGGTTGAATTTGGGCCAGCGCTGCAGGCCACACAAGTCATTTATATGTTGTTTTTTTTTTACAATCATTGTACAGATCTAGCCTATAGGGGTGGATTGGGCCTGATGTTATTTTGTGGGGTTACAGTCTTTTCACACACTGACTGGTTGTGCCGCTGTGTCATGGGCTGCGTCAGGGCAGCAGTAGCTCTGAAGGTAGAGTGGCTTGTCCAGCATCGCGGGGTTCTGGGATTGATCCTGGCTCCTGGCAGATAATGCTGCTGTTGTGTCCTTGGGCAAGACACTTAACACACCCTGCCTGCTGGCGGTGGTTGGAAGGAATGGTGGCACCTGTGCCCAGCAGACTTGCCTCTGTCAATGTGCCCCAGGGCAGCTGTGGCTACAGTGTAGCTTATCACCATCAGCGTGTGAATGTGTTTGTGAATGGATGAATGATACACTGTAGTGTAAAGCTCTTTGGAGTCCTCTGACTCTGAAAGGCGCTATACAAGTGTGGGTCATTTATCATTATCATGTTGCATCTTGAGTGTGGTGGAAATCGGATGTCCTTTTGCCAATATTTATTTTGTTTTTAAGTAGGTGGAATGAAAATCTTAATGTATGTTTTCTGAATTAAAAATGTGAGGACATTTGTCCTACTGTGTAAAAATTATAACCAGCATACTGTTGAAATTGGCTAAAATGATCCAAATTTGAAATTTCTGACATGCCTTTTAGGTTTCTAAGAGCTTTATCTCAACTTAACAGGCACTTTACAACACAGACATTCATCCATTCACACACACATAGGGATGCACCGATACAATACTGGTATCGGTTTCGGCGCCGATACCAATACCAATATCAGTATCGGTATCGGTAAAAGTTAACTGATACCAATGCAGTTGCTTGAAAATGGCTTCACTGTAACTTGTCATTTCTGTTCACCTAGTATTTTAGTTTTGTGATGATTTCCATTCATATATTTTACTTTTTATCTACCTCACAGTCTTTTCCTGTTGAAAGCAGAGAAGAAAATAAAATCTGTATTCCAAATCATTTCATTTTTTGTGTGGTAGAAGTATCGGTATCGGTAATCGGTATCGGCGAGTACTCAGATCCAAGTATCGGTATCGTATCGGTTTGGAAAAAAAGTGGCATCGTTGCATCCCTACACACACACATTCACACAATGGTGAAGATGAGCTACATTGTAGCCACAGCTGCCCTGGGGCGCACTGACAGAGGCAAGGCTGCCGAGCACTGGCGCCACCGGTCCCTCCAACCACCTCCAGCAGGCAAGGTGGGTTAAGTGTCTTGCCCAAGGACACAACAGCAGCATGTTTGGTACATTAGCATCAGCTATTCAATACGTTTTTTGAGAGAAATTAGAATTTCTGTTAACGAGCAAATTCACAGAGAAATCGCTGTTTACTTTAAAGCTGCTTTCTGGAGTTTTCCCCTTACAGGAATTATGTGTGATTTTTCAGAAATCCATAAAAGCGATTGTCTTATCATGTGATATAATGTAGGAAATGCATAATTTTTTCTGCTAAGCCCACCCCTGTCCCATATAGCTAAATAGAATACGAACTGAGCACCAGTCAGCACCAACCAATAGTGTTAGACCACCGCTTACGTACAGACATTAATCACAGAGCGTGCTCAAGCGTTTGAGGATGTACCTCGGTTGATACAGAGTTGGTGACCTTTCTCATGGACAAGAAAGTTTTTAAAATGTAAACATATGAAAACACAACATAAAATGAGCATAACATTTGTAAACAATGTGTTCATGAATCAGAGGCGTGGCTTTCAGCCTTAAACAGGAAAATGAAAGTTTTTTTTTGTGGAGCTAAAACATCAATGTTGCCGAGCAAACAAAGTCAGTAGAGTTGCATTGCTGTTAGCCAACCAGAGGCGTAATGTTATCAGGAAATAAGATTTCAAGTCCTGCCGCGTTCTGCACCCAACTTCTTTGGCTAACTTTTACTTCCTGATACAGAAGCACCAGAGCCTTTTTCCCACAGAGATTGACTCACAAGGCATTCATTTCTACTAGAAACCACTGCACATGTAGTCAAAAAATGGGTGAACTTGGTCTTTAATTAAATGGCGGTTGCAACATGCAAAAGTTCCTGCAAGTGGGTTTGCAACAAACAAATTGTGTTTAATTTACTTAGGAGGAAATATGCATTTATTTTTCTACATAACTTGATTTCTAAACGTGGCTCTTATGTTGGAACTCATTACATCTACGCGTTTGGGTTATGGGAGTTTCAGTGTTTATTTGCATTTGCAGATAATGGGTAATTACATCAATAGTTTGAGTCAATGATTATCTTAAAGAACTCATTAATCATCTCAAGGCCCTGACTCCTAGTTAAATGATTAATTTTTCCAGCTGTGTTGCATTAATGTCATCAGTGGTTTCTTCACTACTTCATTATGTGATTAAAATTAAATATATTGAACATGAATTCTTTTTTTAAGCTCTCAAAATCATTTTTATGTTTGGGGTTAGTGTATTGGGACCCAGGAGAGACCCAAACAGAGTCTATATGAAGCTGTCCGTGCTTTATTCCATGAAGAATGAATGATGCATCAATTTTTCATAGAAAGTGTTAGTAGCTCTTTTTGTTTGTTTGTTTTTCTTAAACATCATTCAGTCTGAACAACAACTTGGCAAAAGTCACTTTTCAGTCCATGCAACATAAATTATTTGTGATGACAGGGTTGCATGCTGCAAAGGGCTTGCATGCTCACCACTGACTCAGCGATGAGCAAATACACAGAAGCTGCTGTTTCGTTTAACTGTCTGCCTTCAGGCCATCCACACTGGGAGAAGACCAGTTTGCTTCAGAGAAAACTGAATAGAACTAGATTGAAAAAAGTAAAAAGAAAATCTCTTAAAACGTCCAGTTTCAGTCTGCCTTTTGCAGGTTGTATTTCAGAGAGCACGCTGTAAATAAGTGATAGGAAAAGCTGATGGCGACTGGAGGAAGGATGTCCTATATGTCATGCTGCATCAGATAGATGGGTCACAAGGGTAGGTGCAGGTCACCCTCCTCTACAGTTGTTTTCCAGATGTTTGCACATAAACAAACAAATGCATTTCTACTTGCTTCTCATCAGTGACACATGGTCAAAGGGCAAGAGGTTGATAAGAGAGTAGAAATATGCAGACATCAAAGGAAATCTGACTTGCTTTTAGTCTTGACTACATCATCGAAGCGTTTTAATTCAAATTTACGCTTTTATGATGAAACTCAGGTGTTTTGTTGTGTTCAGGAGGATTTAAACTCCAGTTAGGATTGTGTGAAATTGGAACTATTACTCAAAATTGAATTATAGATGTCTGAAAAGCTATACTTTGGGCAAATATTTACCTTGTTTCTTTGGAAAATCCCGGATATAATAGCGTATTTGTGTGCATCTTCTTTAGAATTAGATACGCTTCTATTATAGCGCCCCCTGCTGTTAGGTTCGAGAACTGCCCACGTGTATTTCCTCTTCCACGCCTCAGCCATCAGCTAATATACAAAGAAAAAAATGCATGACAAGACTCACAGATCTAAGCTCCTCCCACTCATGAAACATGTGATCGCCCACTAAGACATTTTCACAACAAAGTGTGTGGGTGGGAAGAAAAAAGAGGAAAATAATGTGACCAAGCAGAAGACGCAAAGAAAAAGAAAGCAGGGGGAGGGAAGGGAATGAATGTCATGAGACTGCTGAATAGTTTTCATTTCCCTTTTACTTCCTCATCTGTTCTGCTCAGCACCGGCAACCTCATCTCCAACTGTTTGTTCTCCTTTCTGTCTTCCTGTCATCCTCAGATGAACTCTATGAACAGCGTGAGCAGTTCAGAGGACATCAAGCCTCCGCCGGGCCTGCAGTCTCTAGGAAACATCAACTACCAATGTACGAGCCCGGGGGGGATGTCCAAACACATATGTGCTATATGTGGCGATCGCTCCTCAGGTAATGCGTGAGACTGGAGGTGAAGGATGAGCACATTCACACCCCACACACCTTCATGAACCATTTATGCTGGCAGCTACTGTTTTTTTCCCCCACTGTAGCCAAATATTTTCAATCAATTCCAAAACGTGCCTTTAACTCTCTGGAGGCAGCCATTGCAGATTTGTAACGTTAAAACCTACCTACCTGGTTACTCCACGTATGGATTTCATGAGCATTTTGTAACTCAGAAGTACCCCTGAAGGACTTAGTTGTTCGTCCTTTTATCAAAACTTACTTTGAGCCTGAGAGGGTTAGGGAAGATTTAAAAGCCACGTTTTAAGTTTAATTCTGCAAATCAGGGCTGATGTGGCGGACTTGTTTACTTACAGGAAAGCACTATGGTGTGTACAGCTGTGAAGGCTGCAAAGGCTTCTTCAAGCGAACCGTCCGTAAAGATCTCACCTACACGTGTCGAGACAACAAAGAGTGCCTGATAGACAAGCGCCAGAGGAACCGCTGCCAGTACTGTCGCTATCAGAAGTGCCTGGCCATGGGTATGAAGAGGGAAGGTCAGTGTGTGTGTCAAATATAGAAATGTGAGATTTGTTTAGTTATAGTACATATTTAGGAGTTTAGTGTGGAATTTTTGTCTTTTAATCTGAACATATTCTTGTTAAGTTTTAATATTGCTTACATGCTTATTTTGTTGCATGGAAAAATTTGCACAGGCACGTACAAATGTTTTAAATTGACAAGATATTAATTGGGTCCAAGAAAACTTTAAAGAGGTCCTTCACTCGTATTTTTAATAGATTTGCAGTGGTCTCTAGTAGGAATAAATAGCTAAAAAATAACAAAAAAAAAAAGCTCTGGTGCGCCTGTTTCAGCACAAAGAATTCAGCCAGGGGAAAAGTAGCTTCTGATGGCAGGATTAGGAGTCTTATTCCCTAATATTCTGACATCTGGCCTCTGATTGGATAACCAGTGTTGGGAACGTTACTTTAAAAAAGTAATTACTTATAGTTACTGATTACTTTGTCAAAAAAGTAACTCAGTTACTAACTGAGTTACAAGATCATAAAAGTAACTAATTACCAACAAAAGTAACTACTTAGTTACTTTTTTCATTAAAGAATGCAAGAATTACTACAATAGAAAATATAAATGACTTATGACTGAACATAATAAAATGTATGTCCAAATGTTTTATATAAACCTGAATAATTTAAATAAATAAGCACTTAACAGGAGGAACTACTAATAGGAACATTACACTAATCTGGACTATTAAAAGGTCACTGTGTGATATTTAACAAGACCCCAATCAGCTAAAAATTAAAATTGCAAATAGAAACACCTGTAAAGGTTCCCGAGCCTTTAAATGGTCTCTCAGTCTAGTTAAATTACAGAAATAAATGTAATTTTGCACAGTATTCTAATTTTTCCAGCTTCACATAATTGTGTGTTTTTAGCAGCATTTCTGTTGCTGGTAATCTAGTAACGGTTAAATAAATAAATAAAATCCTTTAAAATGACACTAGAAGAGGCACAGATCTGATGGAGGACTTACATTTACTAACTTGGGTCAGACCCAACCACAGAAGAGCTGAAGCTGGGTGGTAAACACACACAGGTAGTTCTAATAACACCTGAGCTCCATGTCGTTTGAGACTGATGCATCAGTGTTACAGCGGGACTAAAGACATGATCAGAAACAGGTTACAGCTGGATGATCTAGGAAGGCAGAAGATCAGGACGTCTGAGCGGTGAACAGGTGAGCGGACCTTCGGGACGTCCCGCTGTCACGCTAAGAAGGGCACGGCTGCACACCCGCAGATTCCCACCTGCAGCAGCGAATCTGCGGGGGGTCTGCAGCCGTAGATATTCATAACGTCTTCCTCGTTCTTCACGGGCCGTGACGCACTTGGATGAAAACATCTACCCCTTTAGCTCCTGATCAGCTGATGATGACAGCTTCAACACACCGCGCTACTTCACGCACGCATTTTCTTATCAGTAACAGAAACAACGTTTTGATAAAAGAAGACAGTAATGAATTAGTTTGCTCGTTACAGAAAGAAATATTTATCAACGCGGTTATTTTAAACGGAGTTATTCCCGTTGTGTCTACAGAATGCAGTGACTGAGACGGTGAGGGTCTCCGCCCACCCGGCCAATCATCATCGTGTTTGTAAGTGCGTTACCAACACCTCTCTCTCCCTGGCTGCAGCTGAAGTGTGGCGGTCAGAAAGCCTCACGCTGCTGCTCAACGTTCGACAAGCACATAGTAACGCACAACCTTCCGTCCCCAGTAACGGTAACGGCGTTGCAACGGCGGGAAAAGTAATTAATTAGATTATTCCGTTACCTATAAAAGAACGCCGTTAGAAATGCCGTTATACTTAAACGGCGTTACTCCCAACACTGTGGATAACAGCAACATGACTCTACCACTGACTGTTTGCTTTGCAACATTTGTTTTATCTCCATAAACAACACAAGGCTGAAGGAGTTCTGCCGTGTGGTGGAGTTGCCAATGCAAACAGTTAGCTTCTGCTGGTCGAGACATTTTCTGCTGTTTCCTGGACGCTAAACAAACCGCAGCCTTCCCCATCACAATTCAAGATGGGCGAGTCCATGAATGGTGACAGAGTGACGTAGATCTGTCGGGCTTTTCAAGTCCTAGAGTTTCAGCTTCTGTTTTCCATCAGAAGCTAATGCAGGAGATAGGTGTAGGATGCTATTTTCATGCTCAGCCTGCATGAAGGACTCAGCGTGACCCGTCATTTTCAAAAATAATAAGTAAAAAATTATTTCTCAGTGAAGGACCTCTTTGAAAATGGTCGGTAATAAAAGGATTGGTTGCTCTGTATCATCGTCAGATCTGTAAATGTTATTCGGGGGGAAGAAAATTTTGGACAAGTAATGCATTAAAAAGTCATCCATCCATTTTCAACAATGCCCGCTTGTCCAAGCAGGGTCACAGTGGGCTGGTTCCTGTCTCCAGCTATCTCCGGCCAAACCGACAGAGTACACCCTGGACAGGTTGCCAGTCCATTGCAGGGACAGAGACACACAGGACAAACAACAGCACACAGGGACAATTTAGACGGACCAATCACCCTGATGGTCATATTTTTGGACTGTGGAAGAAAGCCAGAGAACCCCGAGAGAACCCACGCATGCACAGGGAGCACAGGGAGAACATTAAACTCCATGTAGAAAGATCCCAGGCCAGGATTTGAACCCAGGACCTTCTTGCTAACCACTGCACCACTGTGCAGCCCACAGATTAAAAATAGTAAAAAAAAAAAAACAGTTTTTTTTGTTGACATTTATTGACAGCCTAGCATTCTATTGACAATGTACTGTATTCACAAGCATACATGACTCATTACAGACTGTTTTTTGCAGAAATGTATTTGTAAAACATAAAAAATAACAACCTTTTAAATGATTCTAGTGCCTTCTGTGATAAAATTTTACTTGATTACACCATCCTGTTCTATGCTACATTTTTCATCTATGTACAGTTAACCAGATTTAAAAGGATTAAGATTTATTTTCGATTTTGTTGGCTCTTCAGATGTGGACACACCCTCTTGCTCCACTCTTCCCGTCACTGGGTAGATGCATTCACGGTGCAAACCCAAAACATTCTTCAGGGCTGAGAATAAACGCTAGTATGTGCTGACACCTAGAATGGGATGTTAAAAATGTTGAGCTTGACCTGAAGTGTGTGTGTGTGCATGTGTGCGTGTGTGTGTGTGTGTGTGTGTATATTTGGGTGCAGCTGTGCAGGAAGAGAGGCAGCGTGGGAAGGAACGTGGGGAGAATGAGGTGGAATCTACCAGCAGCTTCAATGAGGACATGCCTGTGGACAAGATCCTGGATGCTGAGCTAGCTGTGGAGCCCAGAACAGAGACGTACAGTGACGGCAGTCCTGGAAACTCGGTGAGAATCCCAGACATGAACATAAAACCCCTAAACTATCATCATAGATGTGGATCTGCAGGATCTTAAAGTGCTCTGTGATCATCTTATTCGAAGTCTGACCTCCTGTCAAAGCAACTTAAAATGTGATTAACTCAGTTCTGTCTTGTGTGGTTTGGGCGTGCTTTCTCCTCTCCAGACCAACGACCCCGTCACCAACATCTGCCAAGCAGCAGACAAGCAGCTCTTCACCTTAGTGGAGTGGGCCAAAAGGATCCCCCACTTCTCTGAACTCCCTCTGGATGATCAAGTCATCTTACTACGAGCAGGTAGGCAGGAAAACGTGCACATGCACGCACACACAGTGTTTTCCTGTGAGAGTACACAACCCTTTGTTCACCCCAGATTCCTTATGTTCATGTAGTATTTCTCCACACCGGCTGTTCATTTCCAGTCAGGCCATCTATTTCACCTTTCTTCTTACATTCACTCAAGACATTTTTGTCATCTAGTTTAATAGAGCAGTGAAACCAAATATAACTGGACTATTTGCCAAAGTCCCAGCAGTGTGGTTTGCAGCAGCAGCTCATGAGCATGGCTGAGGAAGTCACACAGCACACATAATTAGAGTCCTTGTGGTAAAAGCCCAGTTTAGAGACGCTTCAGGACATCACTTTTTAAATTTGTGTTTTTCTTCCGGTGTAGGCTGGAACGAGCTGCTTATTGCATCTTTCTCCCACCGCTCAGTCACAGTTAAAGACGGCATCCTGCTGGCGACAGGTCTTCATGTCCACAGAAGCAGCGCCCACAGCGCTGGAGTGGGGTCCATCTTTGATAGGTGAGAAGCTGTCAAAGAAAAGAACAGAGTGAAATCAGGGCTTGCTAAGTTAGAGTGTAGACTGCCCCCTTCAGTTTGTTACAGGTACTGAGATATGTCGTTAAAGACATTAGCCCATACAGGACCCAACAGATAAGACATAAGACGTGCTTTTAAATTAGATTTTTCTATAACTTTAAGTTTAATTAAAATTAGAATATTCCACTACACCTGCTTCATAGGAACAATCTCAGCTAAAGGCAAATAAGACAAATACATTATATATATGTATGCATATATATATATATATATATATATATATATATATATATATATATATTTTTTTTTTCTTTATTTGAAAGAAAAAAATTATTATTTTTCTAGGGTAAGAGGGAACTTGTTTCAAGACCAGCAAGGACAAATGCTGTCACACTGCAAATTATTAAATATGCAAGACAACAACCTTTAAGATTAAAGTCTGAATTTTACCAGAAAAAAAGGATGTTTATAGATATTAAGACATGAATGTGCTTAGAACCTTAGAAACAAGTTAAAAATTATGATTTTAATTTTCTTTATGAAAAGTTTATAATTTTTAATATCAATACAAATAAAATTATTTTATAAGTATATTTAAGAATTCAAAGTTTGAATTTTATTTTTATTTATGTATTTAAAATGTCTGAAAATACCTTTATTCTTGGTATTCTTTGAAAAATATTTTCACACAAATGAAGACTTTCCTAAATCAGAATATTAATATGAGGGCTGTATATTAATGTAATTAAAACATTTCCCTCAGATCTGGTTTTTTTTCACCCAAAATAGTCCTATGTCATTGTTGTGTTTTTGGTACAGGTTCTGATTTGAGTGGATTATTTCCAGCTGACATGGAGTTTATTTATTTATTTCCTGCAGAGTCCTAACAGAGTTAGTATCTAAAATGAAAGACATGCAGATGGATAAAACAGAACTTGGCTGCTTACGAGCAATCGTCCTATTCAACCCAGGTCAGTCAGGTGAACGAAACCTGAACATTGAAATTTTGAGCAGCTTTCCTTTTATACACTAGTACAGCATGGTAAATTAGATAATTATGTGTTTGACTGTGTTTCAGATGCTAAAGGTTTGTCGAACCCATCTGAGGTTGAGGCACTAAGAGAAAAAGTTTACGCTTCGCTGGAGTCATACACAAAACAGAAGTACCCAGACCAGCCGGGCAGGTGGGAAACACAAAGCATCACCATTGAAAACTGCTGTTTTGGTTTCATTGAAGATAAAACAATTAATCCACTCACATCTTGCAGGTTTGCCAAACTGCTGCTTCGCCTGCCTGCTCTGCGCTCCATCGGCCTCAAGTGTCTAGAGCATCTTTTCTTCTTCAAGCTAATAGGGGACACACCCATTGACACCTTCCTGATGGAGATGCTGGAGACGCCACATCAGATCACATGACACCCAGACCTCCCTCCCTCCCTCCCTTGTATATACTCCCACTCTGTTAGCGAAACAGGGGCTGAATTAAATACAAAATGGACTTGATTAAAACTGTAAAACTTCATATTTTGTACTGAGAACAAAAAAGAATAATAATTAAAATAGAGATGATATTTTGTGGTTGTTCGGAGAGTCCACTGTCCAAACAAATTCTAAAAGAGTTGCTAACAGATTTTTGTAAATAGATAATTTCTGGTATTTCTTTTTAAAGCAACCCAAAAGAAAGAGGAATTGTATTTCATTCATAAAAGAGTAAAAATACTTCTCAGCATTTAACAAAAACACTGTTTAAATTCGTACAGAATAAAGTTATTTAAATAAATAAAACAACATTATTTGTTTCATGGCTGTGCTTATTTGTGGCTTCCCCTTTGTGCACTTCCAGCTTTTACCACTGGAGGGCAACAACGCACAATCATTTTACTTCCCTGCGTCATCGTCCTGTGTTAGATCGTTTACGTCAAAACTTTAGGACATCAGCGGTAGACCTCACAAGTTCTCTTGGTTTGTGTCTGTTTAAAAATAAACTAACAACAAAAACATTGAGAGACAAAAAAATCTGCCTTTTCTTGGTCTCTTCTAGAAAGTTGGGACATTTTTCCACTTTTCTATTTTTTAAATATTTGAAGTACACTCCTGAGTGTTTAGTTCCCCTATAGCGAGTGTACTATCACACATCACCATAATTTATTTAATTTTAATAGCCATCAAACCTTTCAGTGACCCACTGTGTCTTCTTAAGGAAGGGACAGTCCATGAAAATAAACATTCATAACAAAGATCAGTTACAAGGCAGACTGAGGATAACTGATTGCAGTAAAATGCAACATTTTGCTGAGAAACCCTACAGGTAGGTCATGGTGTTGAAAGTAAATATTTTGCGGACAACAAGGAAAAAGCCTCAAAGTTCAGTGTCAATGTCTACACATTAGTTTAATTTGATGGATGAGAGGGGCTCCTACACTATAATGTGGCTAATGGCGTCAAGTCTGATTTGCATAATGGATTTCCTTCTAAGAACAAAAGAGGTTGCAGCATTTGACTTTGGGATCAAAGTCAGCTTGACCAACAAACCAGACCATCCTCTTTTCAGTACCTGATCCTGTTCAGAGGCATGTGGAGCTGGTTTCCAGTCTTCAGTCATTGGCTTAGAGTGGTGAACCTCAACTGGTGGCCCGCGGGCTTTCTAGGAAGCCAAATGTACAACTGGCACAGGACTACAAATGAAAACTAGCCCATGGCTAATTCTGGCATGTTTCAGCATGCCTGGTGTTAATATGCACTGTCCTGATTAATAAATTAAATGGAAAAATGGAAAACAAAAATAACGTCCCCCGATTGAGGGACTTTAAAGTTTGGCAGCAAAATTCATGTCCCAAATTACAATAATTATGATATGATGTTAGCTGGTACATTATGATGTCACAATGTCATGTGAGCCTGTGTGTGTGTGTAATTGTTAGCGGCTCCACCCTCTCGGTCTGCCATGCAACAGCATTTGTTGCATTTTACAAACATGAAGTGGGAGTGAAGTAAGTTTCTTGTAGGGGGTGACTTGCTCTTTAATTATTCAGAATTGTAATCATTTAATTACGCTTAAACAGAAGAGTTGCAAGACGGTGTTATTATTTGATAAACTTACATTTTGCAAATGTAATAATAATAATAATACATTGAACTTATATAGCGCTCACATTCACACACTATTAGTGATGGTAAGCTGCTTGTAGCCACAACCGCCCTGGGGAGGTCTGACAGAGACGAGGCTGCCATTTGGCACCGTCGGCCCCTCTGACCACTACTAACACAGGCAAGTTGGGTGAAGTGTCTTGCCCAGGGACACAACAGCGGGATACTCCTGGCGGGAGCTGGAATCGAACCCATGACTCTCCGATCATGAGGCAACCCGCTCTACCACCTGAGCTACTGCTGCCCCATAATAATGACAGAATGGCAGCCACAGCCTAACCAATTATGCCCTTGTGCAGCCAGAAATGGCTCCTAACTGAGGGGTTTTATATGCTTCTTACATATTTAGCACACAATTTAAAAATGAATTGATGTTTTTTTATTGTTTGTTTTTGTTTTAACAAGTATTTACTCACTGATACTTTAAAATTTAGTCAGAGTATGAATTCAAAGCGATACATATTTTTGTCTCTTACAAGAAAATTTAACATAAACAGCAAGGATATGGATCAGGATAAGAAAATATCTATCTATCTATCTATCTATCTATCTATCTATCTATCTATCTATCTATCTATCTATCTATCTATCTATCTATCTATCTATCTATCTATCTATCTATCTATCTATCTATCTCTATCTATCTATCTATCTATCTATCTATCTATCTATCTATCTATCTATCTATCTATCTATCTATCTATCTATCTATCTATCTATCTATCTATCTATCTATCTATCTATCTATCTATCTATCTGTCTGTCTGTCTGTCTGTCTGTCTGTCTGTCTGTCTGTCTGTCTGTCTGTCTGTCTGAAAATGTGAACTTTTTGCCCTCATCTCAGCAAAAACTGCTCCTTCGTGGTATTTGGAGCGGTAATGAGGGGTGGGGGTGTGTGAGGGAGGGAGGAGGCTGGCTGGGGGAGAGGTAACCTGCACCTGCACATGGAGGAAGTCTCTCCGGCTCTCGGTTTCTTTCCCGTCCGCCGCTAATAGGATAATTGATAGAGGAGTTGAGTCAATAAGAGGCCGTGGGAGTCTCTGAGGGGAAACTCTGATGCTGCAGCAACTCTCCGCGGCACTCTGAGCGCCGGAGATAGACTCTGAGAGGAAGAGGGAGTTTTCAAATCAAAACACTTTCCTCCCGTCAGAGAACTCGCGTTTCACAGGTAAGAGTTCCATCTGCCCAAGAATGAAAAGTTTGAACATTTGCATTATTTCGTGTTTATAATTTGCTCACGTGTTCCGCAGATTTTTCTCAAAGTTTTGCAACAAATAGTTTTTGTTGTCATTTGGAAAGACGTTGCTCTAATTTCATTATGATGGGCTCATCTTTGTTTGGCAGCACATTAACAAACTCATTTATTCACTTTTTTTGACAGAATGTTTTTTCGATGTTTCCGCGTCATTTCGAACGGCGATGAATTAAAGTAGCTGACTGGAGAGTTTTCCTTTGATTCTGTAGACATGGATCGCAGGGCGGTGTGTGCTGGATGCCACCGTCCGATCACAGACAGGTTCCTGCTCAGAGTCGGCGGCGGCCTTTGGCATGAGGAGTGCGTGCGGTGCGCGGCGTGCGGGGACGCGCTCGGGAACTCCTGCTTTCTGCGGGGCCGCAAACTTTACTGCAAAAAGGACTATTCTGAGTGAGTGCACGTGTATTTAAACACATAAATTGTTTAAACACAATAATAACATCAGTTAAAAGTAATTTTTTAAATCTTCTTTAAAACTAGTAGTATTTGTTTTAGATCAAGTGTTGTCATGCTGACATAGAATTTACCAATTAAAGAAAGGATCATTACTCTGTAACTTACTAATTAAAATTAAGAGCTTTAGTTTTTATTCTGTTTTTGGGTCAAAAGACTCAAAACACATTCATCATTTATCCTATTTCCCACAACAGAGCCCGTTGTCCACATCTTGACCTTGGTTACACCCGTGTGTGTGTGTGTGTGTGTGTGTGTGTGTGTGTGTGTGTGTGTGTGTGTGTGTGTGTGTGTGTGTGTGTGTGTGTGTGTGTGTGTGTGTGTGTGTGTGTGTGTGTGTGTGTGTGTGTGTGTGTGTGTGTGTGAGAGAGAGAGAGAGAGAGAGAGACTGAACAAGGAAACAATTGTTTTGCAGTTATTTCCAATAAATGTAATGCAGGTGAACTTTCTACATTACAATTTTATTTCCTTTCAAAGTAATTAATAATTTAGTTCCAGAACTAATATTTGTTTTAGGTGGTTTCATGCAAGTCTTAGAATCTACCAATCAAAGAAAGGATAAATAACTTTAGCTTAATAAATTAAGATTGTGTGTGTTTGCTTGGTGACTTACAAACTCAACAGTGGATTAAGAGAACAGGGTGACTGTGGCAGGAAGGGGTGTTATGGAAGCTGGAATGTAAGGAAACTATTGTTAAGTGAACACACACACACACACACACACACACACACACACACACACACACACACACACACTCTCTCTCTCTCTCTCTCTCTCTCTCTCTCTCTCTCTCTCTCTCTCTCTCTCTCTCACACACACACACACACAACATCACACCTTCATGCACAACTGGGGGTATAGAGCTCAACTGACACATTGTCAAAATGTGTTAAGATGTTGAGGGCCATTGGCGTGGCAACTGCAAGCTGGAGACAACATATGGTCCTCCCCATCACTATCAAAAAAAGAGAGAATTACTGCCCAACACCTCGCCTTGTCCTTAAACTCCAGCTCCAAAAACCTCTCTATTAAACATCAACAAGATACAACCAGTCTAAAGGGCAGCAGCGTATCTGAGCCGTTTAGTGGCAATTGTTCTGCCAAGAAATTTGCCTAAATACTCCAAATTAGCCAAATTGATTCAAATTGAATCCTGCAGTTAAAGATCCAATCATACATTTTAAATTCTGAGAGATTTTTAAAATATTTCACTGTCCAACTGTTTTTAGATTAATAAGGAAATGTAAGCGAAGTCAAAAGTGTAATATGCAGGAGGTATTGAAGCAAGGGCAGAAGTGAGGTGATTAGCAGCAGAGAGCCATGTGTCAGAAGGTGTGGTGCACCCCTGCCAAAGAGACGGAGAGGATGGTGTGAACTTATTTTGGGGGACAGTGCGCTCCACGAGCCCTGGCGTTATGTGCGGTGGCATCTGGAAAGCTCCTCTTACAGCAGCCTCTGTGTGGAGCAATGGGACGACGCCCAGCCAACCGTGAGATATCTGAGCTGATCAATTAGCAGGAGGCCCATTGCCAAAGCTTCCCCTCACAAACTTCCCCCGCTGTCCCGTCTGGGTGGGAATGACACCCCATTCCTGCATGGAGACCCCCAATGAGTGATTTAAAACTGTGCCAGGATTTCCTACCCAAACAAACAGCTTCTCACATCCCCTCTTTTGTTTTTTAGGTGCAGTGATTGTGTGATTATTCCACACTGTGACAACATTTGTTTCTTACCACACGCTGCATATCGTCTGTCTGGATCTTGCCTTGTTTTTATGCTTCAAAATTGGGCCAGTGCCAGCCAAAGCTGCGGATTTGTCTTTTTTGAGGATTTTAGACCTAAAAATTCTGCTGAAGTTTTTATACTGAATCCAGAAATGTATCAAACATTGAGCTAGGCAGGCAGACTCACAGAAACTGTATCACACACAACCAAACACACACTTTTAGACTTTGTAATATAAACATTTCTTAATTTTCCTGTGTGGCATAATTTAATGTATGTATTCATAAGATAAAATATTGTTTTACCTTAAAACCAGTTTTTTTGGGATAAATTTTAGATACAATAATTAATTACCAAAAAGCTATTTAATCAATGCACATGAGACTTCAACATAATGAGCATTGTTTATCTTTTTTCACCGTGTCCTGTTTGGCTGTAAAGCAATCAGGACTGATGTCTGAGTGCTGAAAACAAGCTTTACAGTTTTAGTCTCACAGGTGGAGCATTATAGATTCAGCTATAATGCCTCGCCTGATATCAAAACTTGATTAGCTTCCAACAGAAATGAAGACGAAAATGAAAGAGAAAGGGGGGAGAGGAAAGGAAGGGGTGGGAGGAAAGAAGTTTACACAAAAAAAAGAATAAAGGATGTACAAGAATCCGCTTCTAGACCTGCAGAAAGAGAGAGAGAGACAAAAAGGGACACGCATATACAACAGGACAAAAATGTCACTGCGCCAAACACATGAGAATATATGAGAGTAACAATTTTTGATGAAAAGCACTAAGTAATAAGTCATAGTGCATTTAGTGCCAACCTCAACCCTAAATGATAAATGACGCGCACTTGTGTAGCGCCTTTCTCCAAAGCGCTTTACACTACAGTGTATCATTCACACACACACACACACACACACACACACACACACACACACACACACACACACACACACACACACACACACACACACACACACACACACACACACAAGGTCTGTTAAGTGTCTTGCCCAAGGACACAACAGAAGCATTCTCTGGCAGGAAGGATCAAACCTGCAGCCTTCTGATTATTGGACAAAACACTCTTCCTCCTGAGTTGTGTGTCAAAAATTGTCCACGTAGGGTCGCGCGCGGGGGGGGGGGGGGGGGGGGGGTTGTCTGGTGCCTATCTCCAGCGGTCAATGGGCAATCAGGCAGGGTACACCCTGGACAGCGAGTTAGTTCATGTTTATGGACTGTGGGAGGAAGCCGGAGTACCCAGAGAGAACCCACGCATGCACAGGGGCACAGGGAGAACATGCTAACTCAGTGCAGAAAGGTCCCAGGCTGGGAAGTGAACCCTGGACCATCTTGCTGCAAGGCAACAGCTCTAACCATTGCGCCACTGCACAGCCTACTTGTGGAATAATAATAATAATAATAATAATAATAATAATAATAATTATTATTATTATTATTATAAAAACAAGATGATAAATGCATGTTCAGGCCTTTGTTGATAATGAAGGACCCCTAGATTCTTGTAATTATATTAATCATGTATGTGCTTGACCTGGATCAATCAGTCAATAGGTTACAAGCAGAAGGCTGTCGTATCATTTATTAAAACGACGACCACGGGACATTTTAGGTTGGTGGAACTATCGGTAGATCAGGTTAGATCAACAGTTCAGTGGCCATGCAGATGGGGGAGCAGATCGGTCATCAGATCAGCAGCGTGACTGGTGGTGCACTTGACCTGAAGATGTGTATCTGATATGCAGCCCATGTTGGTTTGTGTTCAGTGAAAGATCCAAGTTAACCTGATCCAGAAACAGGATCTGTCTCTTCTTGTCCTGCAGACCAGCCGTCTGTTTTCCTGCCAAAGGTCATTCCTGAGGTCAAGGCAAAGGAAAACTAAATGCTTGCATACATAAACATTATATTTCATCTCTGCATCCATGCTCAGTGTCCAAGGTTTTGCTGACTGATTTCTCTGTACCAATCCTGTCACTAATTGGTGTCTTAATCCATCATGACTGAGAGTTCCCGCTTTCATGGCTGAGTCGCCGGGCCAGTCATGTCAGCGGAAACTCTGAAATATTAAACACCTTCAGCTGCTCTATAAGCACTGAAGGTACCTGTGCCATAATGACTCTTAAAAGAACGGAGCTCATAAGACGAACTGAACAAGGTGCATAATGGAACAGCAATTCTCGAAACACAAGTAATCTCGAAGCATTAAAGCCCGCAGTTCGCTCTCCGCTGACATCTAGCATTAGCTAGACATCATGTTAAGTACTTCACCGTATCCAAGAGACCCACAAACATTCCGGGTATTTCCTCAGCCATACTTACGTTGGTTGATGCATCTTGGGTTGCCAGAGGAATGCAGATACCACAGAAAGGTATGCTGGTCGTATCAAAGCAAATACCTTAGAGGATGTGGGGGCAGACGACCCTGATGGGTCAAGTGGTCAGACTGGCCTCTCGTGAGCCCCTGTGAGTGGGCTCCACCATTTCCATGGTGACCTCAGAGAGATGGGAAGAGATATTAGCAATGTTTGGGTTTGCAGGTTGAAAATCTCAACCTCAACACTGATGTTTCCTTCATGTTTGGCCTACTTATAAATATTGTGCCTTTTTGCTTTGTGGAATACACCAACCTCCTGTAGCAGATTTTGTGTGTTTATGCTTTATGTTATATTAGTCTTTACCCTTTTTCTCTTGGAAGTAGCCCCAAATGATCAGATTTCAATAGTTACCAACAGCGGCATTGATTAATGGTTAAAGAAAGAGAGAAAACTTTTTGTTCAGTGACATTTTTAAGGCTTTTAAGCAGGATTGTGTTTTTGTAGGAGAAAACAAGAGAGGGAAAAGCTGTCACTTTCTCATGCCTCTTTGCTGACTTGTCTGGTGACCCAGTCGGTTCAGGAAACAAACGCCAGGTCCAGAATGATGACGCATCATCCTGTTTGACAGACCCAAAATGCAGCGGTGCCAGCCAAGTGGACAATGGTCCTGCTGCTTGGGGGCTGGCTCAGTCTTTGTCCAGCTCTGGTTTAGCAGACTTTCAGATAATTCCACGGATAATTCCTGAGACCAGTGGCTCAGTCTCTCCCACCAGGAGAGCTGATTCCCCCCCTCTGCCTGGAGCCATGGCCTGCCGAGAGCCTTTTTTCTTGCGTCCCTGAGAGCACGGCCTCGGACACGGCAGTTGGAGCCACGGCAACAGTCTCCGAGGCTGAGCCCACCAGTTTTAGTTGCCAGGCGCTAAGACACACACCCGACACACCAAGGGTATGTGTCTAAGTGGTCGGGGCAGGGGGGAGACTGAAGAAAGGGGAGAAGTCAGGAGTTTTGAATGACAGCTCGACTCAGCAACAGTACCAAGTCTGGCAAGTGTGCTTTTTTTCTCATGAAGTCTCATTTCACTGAGGCGTCCTCAAGTGTCTAACGAAACAAGAACATTGTTTACTATTTATCTTTGTGTCTCTGCCTTTCTGCTGCAGCCTGTTTGGAGTGCGATGCGGGGGTTGCTCAGAGGCTGTTTCTCCTTCAGAGCTGGTGATGCGTGCAGGGCCAGCTGTGTTTC